TGTAAAGTGCTTTGGGGTCCTTAGGAACTAGTAAAGCACTATACAAATACAGGCCATTTACCATTTAAATCCAAAAGTGTCACTGTGTTTAGGCGACAGCACTATTTGCATAGTTTACATATGCCACTCTAAAATAAAATCTTACAATCGTTGTTTGTTTGTGTGTATAGTTCAGGATGGTCTGGTTTACAGATTCTGCAGTGAAGATGGCAAATGGGCACAGAAGAATACCAGTGAATGTGAGGACGACCCTGGTGAGGTGTGTGTACACAGTGCTGTACTTTGTTTTTGTGTGTGGCTTTCTTGTTAATTAGTGGCCATTTTTGAAGCTGCCTGCAGTGGCAGATTGTTACACGGTACTGCAACTTAAAACATTAACTCATTATGATCTGAACTTACTGCCGCATGTGAAAATCCTCCATCTGTTCAGTAAATTATTAGGATCTTTTTGTATTGTTTAAATAAAGCTGAATATAAATTGTGTGTTTGTATCTATGTTTGAATGTAGTCCATGTATGTAAATGGCTTTATCTCTTTCAGCAGCAGTATGGCCGCATCCTCACTCAGTTGCGGATCATGTACACAGTGGGTTACTCTCTCTCACTGGGGGCTTTGCTGCTGGCACTGGGAATTCTCATCTTCTTCAGGTACATCATGTAAAGAGGACGTGTTAAGGGGGTTAAGGAGCAGACCTGGTTTGAATTACGGGATCTTGTTTACATCTTCTACCTTCTTACTCTCACTTCTTACCTCTTAGGAAGCTCCACTGTATGAGAAACAACATCCACATGAACCTGTTTGCCTCATTCATCCTGAGAGCTGTGTCCATTCTGGTTAAAGATGCTTTACTGACCCTCACACTGGATCCCAGAAGCAACAGTGACTCACAGGCACGAAGCTGGGTCAACATACCGGTCAGCGAACAAACACACATCCAGCTCACCTGCAGTTGTAAAACCTTAGCCATAGCCACCATATTACAGTAGATATAGAGTGTAGAGGCTGTTAAATAATAATATTAACGTGATTAGTGATTGGAGGAGACAAACATATAGATAACTTACTTTTAATCCCTCACTTTAAACATCAGTGTTCGTCGATCGCAAATCGACAGTATGTGCAGTATGTGCCACAAACACATACAGAGAATATTCTACCACGATATAATTTTTATATTCAACAGTGTGACTTGCACAGCTCGTCCTGAACATAAATTCCATGTAGGTTTTAACAACCACCACACATATATTTCAATAAACTGCTGACTAGATAGTGATTGGGTATGTCTAGACCAACAAATCTGTGATAAGAAAGACATTCTACAAAACATTATTGATGTTGTTGGTGTTGTTTTTCATATCATTTCCTGTAAATAAAGCTTCAGTAAACGAATATACCCCATGTTGACAAAAGTAATGGGTCACACCTCTTAATATTCAAAATGAGGTGTTTTCAGTCTCATTGCAAAAGGTGCATAAAATCAAACACCTGACCATGCGACCTGTTCTTCTGAAGAGCACACCAGCCCTAACATGGCACTTTATAGGATGTATAGATTATAGACTTTCTTCCAAAAACCTTTATAAGTAGTGTTACTGCAAAAGAAGGAAAAAGAAACTACAGCATGTCAGCCACAAAGTGACACACCACGTAAAGTTGAACAGCGGGGTTGCCAAGTGCTGAGGCGTATAGTGTGTAAAAGTCGCCAACGCAGTGCTGACTCAGTAACTGCAGAGTTCCAAACATCCTCTGGCATTAACATCATGTGTTTCCATAGCCGAGCAGTTCCAGTAGGTGTAATGTGTGGGTGGCCCAGTACTTTTGTCCATATAGTATATAGTTTATATATGTTTGAAATTCACATGCTATTCTAACCTGTCATGAGTTCATAAAGGTCCATAAGAATTTTATTTAAAGTTCTGAAATGCGGTTGCAAGAGAATATCAAGAAACATAAAGGACTGATCACTATCTAGGATTTATTACACAGAAGATGAGCGAGGGCAGACACCTGTTGATATCTGATACCACTCAAATGTATACTGCTATTGCCCATCTAATTATCTCTGTTGCTAAAACACACAGCAGAATACTTGCACCATATTAGAGGCTATGGGCACATCAACATTGCTTGTATTTCTGGATAAATACTTTACATTTCATTTGATACATCTCTCTACAACATAGATGTAAATTATATGTAACACGAATCAACTTGAACCACTGTTTGGATGTTCTGTAGCCACTCTCAATGGGTAATAGAAATAACATTAACTTTACAGCTGAAGAGCAAAGTAGCATATACCTTTTACACACTACAGTGTGGGATGATTTTCTACTACGTTATAAGTGGAATAAAAACTACAGTTAAGAAATTTAACATTAGTACAAAAAGATAGTGAGTCAATGTATAGAGAGTGGATATATTCAAGTTCCCCTTGCTTCTTTTTACATGAAACACTCCACATTTGTCGAGGAAGATGTCAGATAATCCACATTTAGTTCAATCATTAAGAAGTAAAAATCACTTAAAAATATTATATGTTTTCTTTACTTTCATTTTTGTGGTGTCTAGCAAAGGGGGAACTACCCGTGTATTCCACAATAAAACACCCACTGTGCTGTACTGTAGCTGTTGTCCCTGAACTGGAACAATGTTAAACTAATTCATCTGAACTGAAATATTTGTCAGCTTTTACCCTGTGAAGCTTTGTTTAAAAGCTGCATTTGCTACATTTGTGCAAGCAAGGACAACTTGGCTTATTGTTTGTGTTCAGGCTGTGATGTGGTGTCGTGGTGCCATGGTGATGATGCAGTACAGTGTAATGGCCAACAACTATTGGCTTCTGGTGGAAGGCATCTATCTTCATAGCCTCTTAGTCATCACTGTATTCAGCGAGAGGAAGTACTTCTACATTTACCTGGCCATTGGTTGGGGTAAGAGCATAATCTGCTAAACAGCAGCTGAACACTTGGCTTTGTGCTTATCAACGTAATGCAAAAGGTCCAACAGTGAACAGCGCTCTGACTTTCAGCCAGTCTTTTGATGGGTGATTTAGTCAGACGACAGACATTAGCAACAACAAGTCAGCCAACAGTTATGTTAATAGCTCTGAGAGCAAGGAGGATGTACAAGAAAATCTGCGGTCTCTAGCTAATGTATCCCATAAACACTCGAGACTACTAAAAACACTACACCTTACCTTCTTTTCATGTTTGAAGTGGGAATGTATCCTTAGTGGTTTTCTCTTGCTACCAATATGTTTTGTCTGTCTGTCTCCCAGCTGCTAGGTGTAACAACGTTCTTGTATATATAAATATTGTGTAGCACACAGCAGAGCTAACTTATCAGAAGGGTGTATTTTACCCCAGACCGTAACTGTTAAAGGCTGATGGGGAGTTCACGTCGCCCCACCAAGCGGGCGGATAAGTTTGAATCTCAGTGACCTTAACCTAAAGGTCAAAGGTCAGAAGCCAGATATTCTGAAAATCCTGTGAATGCAATAACCTGAGAACAAGGCACTATAGAGTTTTCAAATTGATACAATAGGTGCGCCTTCGAAGAGTCTTAGGCGGCTTTGAATCTCAGTGACCTCGACTTCAAAGTGTTTTCTAAAAATCTTGTGAATGCAATAACTTGAAAACAAGGTGACATAGGATTTTCAAATTGACACCTCAGGTGTTTCTGCTAGGAGGCTGAGAGATACCACTGACGGTTACAAATGTTTTTTAGACCTTAGAACTAAGCTGTGTCTGAAAATAGAAGGTTTTCAAAAAAGCCCTGAATTCAAACTTCTCTGACTAACCAAATAATGTATTCTTCATTCTTTTTTAAAACCTAAAGCCTGCATTAGTGTGTCTCTCTCTGGAGACAAAGAAAGATTTATACAGGTTTTGTTTTTACATTTCCTTAGACAGTAGCACTCTGCAAGACCTGCAAATTGACTTTGATGTATAACACCCAGTAGTCTTTAAGACTGTGAGATATCTAATTCATACCCACGAGACACTGAAAGAAAATATGTTTTGTTTTTGTTTTTTCATATCACTGTAAACACCTAACGGCGTGGAACTCTGTCAAGTATTGTTTTGAAACACACAAAAATGTAATGAGTCCAGCTGCTACTACTACTTAACAAGTCCTCAGATTCCGTAACAACAAGCATTCAAGAGCAGATGTGCTTCTCCAGTTCAGACTTCCTAGATTCCACCATTTTTACATTTTCAAATGAATATTGAATGTATGATTTTCAGCCTCCTGTTCTGTAATAAGAACTTAATTATACAGCTGTCCATAGTTAAGTTCTTGTATAGCTTTTAAAAATACTCACTGAAGAAAACTACTCATCCATGTCTAAAATAACAACTGTCCAGCTCACCTTGATGTGTTATAGCCTGACAGGACTGATAAAATTCTGAGACCACATTCATAAACACATAGGGATTGAGCTCATTGAAGCTTAGATAAAGGCAGACATGACAGAGATGATTTTAATATTTAGAGACCTTTAAAGTCTGCTTAGGATAAGACGAGAGCGGAAATATTTGAAATGGTAATGAGATATTAAATTCACAAGGACAGAAAAAAATATAAAAAATGTTGTATCATGGGCAGTGATATAATAATATAACTTGATACTGATTACTGGACTAAACTATAAATATTAGCTAGGACTACTGCGTGTGCTTTGGAGGAAATGATTTGGGATCCTTATTCTTTGCTTTCTGTCATTCTCAGGTGCTCCGCTCATATTTGTGTTGCCATGGATCACAGTGAAATACCTGTATGAGAATGAAGAGTAAGTTTAATCAATTCATGAAATTTTCACATCAAATGGAAGACAGTTTAATTATTGCTGCTTTTATCCGTGACCCCTGAGGAGACAGATGAGTGCGGGTCTTTTTTCTCCTGGTTTCCTTTAAAGAATTTATATTGCAGAGGAAATGTTGATAAAATGTGTTGTGCCCATAAGTTTGTGTGTTTGTTTCTGTATCTAGGTGCTGGGAGAGGAATATTAACATGGGATATTGGTGGATTATCCGATCTCCTATACTTTTTGCTTATCTGGTAAGACTCTCTGTATCTCTTTTTCTCTCTCTCACCTTTGTGTTTAACTTTGTCAGTTTACATTTGGATAATGTTTTAAAGACAATTCAAAACAATCTATGTCTTGGCAGATGCTTAGGAGTGCTCATAAAGATACCAAATGCTTTTGTCTGCCTGCTTGTATTTGAATGTGTGTAGATGAGGCAGCTGTTGAAAATAGGACTGCAGGAAAAATGTAAGTCGTGTAAAAATAGTGACTTTTATTTTCTGCAGTTGATATTTTATCAGTTCCTACATTCAGTGCTGTGCTATTTCACTTTGCTCAGTCTGATGACAAAATATAACTTTATACAACCACATGTGCAATATTCACAAAATATCAGTATTTAAAATTTCATATAGGACAACATCATTGTGTTTACACTCCCTCTTAACAACATCACATACCAAAACCAGCTGACGCTTTCCTTTTGTGTGTTTCCTGATTCTTGTTCCCAAATAGCATTATGGATGGACACACTTATGACCAGTGCACTTAAACATGCGCAGTGCTGCACTGTGTGGGAGCATTACTTTTTAATGCAGTTGCTGAAATAGTTGGTAAAAATGTAAAGTTGTTGTAAAGTCTTTCATCATTGTGCAACAACCCCAGAGCTGTTCTGCAGTTCTACTATTGTGCAAACAACCTGATTCACACCTAAATAAACTGCGTTTGTGTGCACTCCACTATACATATTTACACAAATACTTGTGTTGAGACAGCACACGCACTTTACCAAACTTGGAGCGCCAAAATCTTGAGTGCTGTGATAATAAATGACCTGCCATCAGTAAGTGTCCTGCACTAGATCACAGTGTGTGCGCACGTGCACATGCTTGTTCTGTGCGCAAGCACTTGAATTGCTCGTGTTGTGGGGACGTTAATCCGTCTGCCCAGTCCCACTGTGAGGACTTCGTTTAAAGTCAGACTTTGTGTTAACTACTAACGCGTTCCAAAGCGGCAGTAATCTTCTCTCTAGCACCATATGCTAACATATTGCATTGTGTTTGCTTCAAAGTGACTTTCTTTATCCTCTTTCTTTCAGATTAACTTCTTCATATTTATCCGTATTATTAAAATCTTAATGTCTAAACTTAGAGCTCACCAGATGAGATACACTGACTACAAGTTCAGGTGAGAAATGTGTTCCTTTATTTCTTTTCTTTTTTGTTTTTTTAAAGAAAATGCAGACAGGAAGCATTTACTTAGTCTTAGTAGCTTTTACGCTTGGGAATTAACTTTTTTGGTATTATAGCCATTTTTATATATAGTCCCCTGTTTTCAGAGTTTTCTTGTAATCTCTAATACCATTTGCTTCCCCTTTCTCCGTTCTTCCAGACTGGCAAAATCTACCCTGACTCTCATTCCCTTGCTTGGGATTCATGCCATCCTCTTCACCTTTGTCATTGATGAATCTGTTCCTAAAGGCTCTGTTCTGCGCCTCGTTCGCCTCTTCTGTGATCTCCTGTTCAACTCCTTCCAGGTATAAGTTCAACTTTCACTTGTTCCACATGTGCCCATAAATATAACAGAGGGACCTCAGAGGATTAATACCCAGGAAGACATAAGCTGCACGCTAAAGTAATAAATTATCTTTATAACTCAAAGATGTCACAGAGAACAAAGAAATTGGCACTTTTATATGTTGTACATTTGCATATAAAGGCAAACATAGGTGAAGAGCTTGGGTTCGACATTTCTTTTGCCCAGCAAACTCCTTCTTAATCCTCAAATTTTATTTTTTTAGACTATTTCTTACTCAGGCAGCACACAAATCCTACCCTTCTGTCAGATACTGCTGGTGTTGCAGGAAATGTGAACAAGCTGTCCTGGCACCGTGACTTGATGAACCAGATGTGGCAGCATTCATGGCTGAGAGATAAAATTCTTTTTTTGGAAAGACTAGGAAGTGCATTTATTACGGTGGAGATGAAAGGTGGAGTAAGTCACAAGAAGGCACATTAATTTTGAATGCTCTTGTGCTGTTGCTTGTAATTTAGGTCTTTGCACCATAAACTTACCTGATTAGTTTTAGTGAAAAATTACTTTGTGGTACAATGCGCCCCCTCATAACAATAACTCTACACATTAAAAAATGGCGGTGCATTTAAATGTGGCTTCACGTGCTTGTTTGCAAGCATCCATATGTGACAAGCTGGGAGTGAGAGAGCGTCTCTCTATTTCTATAAGACAGGTTTCGGTGCACCTGTGAGATCCCAGCGGCTCTGACAAAATAGTAATAGAGATTTTGACACCCTAGGAATGAGATTGGGCTGCATTAATTATATTCTCCATCATTCATACTATGCCTCTGCCTTTGGCAGTTCAGTGATCAAGTGTTTTAGCTGTCCAGTGCAATAAAATGACTCTTTTTTTTGTTTGTTTGTTTTCCTCTTGTTGAAAAAAAGTGTTTTTACTCTTTTATTGTGGGAACTAGATGAGAGTAATGAGGCAAAAAATAGTGATTTTCTGGGTATTTGTTTCTAATAATGAAAAAATGTATTTTAAGTACAATAAGCATATTAAATGTTCTTCCATTTCAGGGCCTGCTGGTTGCCATCCTGTACTGCTTTGTCAATAAAGAGGTGAGACAGATTCATTTGTCAAAAGCCACTTTAATTTTAAATGTATCTTCTTTGTGAGGATACATTTTTTATTGTCTCTGTCTCTTCCTTTATTTGTTCTTTTGTATCTCTAAAAACATCTTCAAGTTCCACTTTTTTTTCTTTTGTCTGCAAGGACCAGCAGACACGACAGGATCCATCTGCTAATATGCAGTCTTTTAAATGCAGTTTTTGGCAAAGAACATCCATCTATTGATGTCCTCTGTGTCTTGTTCAATCTTCATCACCACTATCTCTCCTGTCTCTCCCATCACTTCCTCTCTCAGGTGCAGTCGGAGATGCTGAAAAAGTGGAAGAGGTGGAAACTGGGTAAGGACATTGATGAGGAGTACCGCCACACACACAGCCAAACGCCACACGTTAAAAGTGGCAGTATCGCCACTGGCAATGTGCCCAACACCGGTGACCCAAATGTTGACTGGCCTCGCTTCAACAAAGCCAACAGCGGCCCGGTTTGCTCCGCTGCAGCTGAGGAGAACCGCAAACTCGTTGTCTCCTTTAGCAACGGGACAGGGAAATGCAGACCTGCCAAAAGCAGGCACACCCTGCACTTCTCTTTGCAATCGCACAGAGGCGCCACCAGCAGCACTGCCACAGAGGATGTGTGTCTGGAAGAGCGCGTGAAGTACCGCTCATATACTCTGGAAGGAGAGGAAACTAATGTCTGACTTCCCTGGGACCTCATCGCAAAAACTCTCACTGATTGCGCTTCTTGTTTCGGATCCGTGCTTATCATGTGGCAGTTGTATAGCTTGAGCAGGAAGAGGATGAGGAAGTAACAAACAGGGATCATGATGTTCACCGATTCAGAACATTGCAGGAAATGCCACTGAGTCCTGCCCAGCTGCATATGAGTATTTATTGCTTCTGGGAGATGGAGGAAAAAACACTTATTGACTTCAGACATTAGGAATGAGTGTGCGTACGTGTGTCTGCCTGTGCGCATATGGAGGACAGCTATTTCAACCCTTCTCACATCTTATCCGGTGTAACCATTGTGGGACATGCTTGTGTCGTGTGTGTTTGCAGCAGTGTGCACTAATCTGTGGTACAGAAGAACCTCTTGGTGTCAAAGTATGATTTTATTTAAACTTTTGGTTCGATGGAAATGAATGTGAATTGCACCATGAGAGACTCTTGATGTCTGAGTGGTCAGGAATTGCAATTTACTGGAGACCTCTCTATCTTATCATGCTGTGATAGGAGTCAGTGTTTGCTATGCTGAGGCAGGCACACAGAATATGGACTCTTTCACCTTTAGAAGGAACATGATACAAAGTTTAACTTATTCTGGTTTTAACAAGCCAAAGCCAAACAAGAAAATAATAATATATCACAGGTTTGTTATTGACTGCATAAAGCACGAAATCCATATTTTTATTCATCTACTCCATTTTTAAACAAATTTTGATTGAATGTATATGGACAGAGGAGTAATTTGGTTGAACTGAATTTTAATTGAATATATTTAACTGTATATATGTAATTAGATGTACACGCTCTATCCAGAGCCTCTTGGATTTGTCTAACATCTAACTCAAATTCCTCATTTGCCTTCATTGCCTCATTGTAAGATTCATGCTTACACGGTTACAGTCACCGTCAGCTGCACAATTTTTCAGGCGTACTTTAATTTTTAGAAATATAATTTTTGCACAAAATCTACAGCTTGTACAGATGTCCAAAGATTGTTTTATATTCCAGGACGGTTTTTAAAGAAAAAGGTTTTGCATTTAAAAACACAATGTATGGCTAAGATTTTTTGTTAATGCACCACATTGACAATGAAAGTTAGATTGTTTTTATGCTTTCTATGTCAAACTTTGTAACGCAGAACAAAAATTGTGCCCCACCCACCATATTTATTTGTTGTTGGGTTTTTTTGATACCGGAAATAAATGAAGCCAGCAATGAAACACTGCTTAAAAAAATTAAGAGAAGATACAATCTTCACAGTATAATACAAAACCAGTGAAACTTGTGCAATATCGATTTGTCTAGTTGGGAAGCATACGTTTTATAGGGCTGTAGCAATGATGGTCATCCTAATTTATCCAAAATTATTAAATAAAAACAGTATTAAACTCCTCTAAAATGTGTGTTCACTAAGTGTGAACTATTGCTAACAGGCATGATGCACACATGAATTTGAAATATATCAGTACCTCTATTGTAGCAAAGGTATTTCCAAAATTAATTCTTGTTTCATTGTAGTTCGTGCAAAGAAAGCAGAACCTGACACTGTGTTTTTTTTAGAATAAATGTGGACATTTATTACAGATATTTTTATTAATACGTTTATATATTATATGTAGATATATAGGAAACCATATAAACAAGAAATAGCACCTTGAAGTGACTGTTTTGGTGTAAATAAAATTGACTTGAATTGAAGAAATCATTGTGAATCATTTTCAGCTGATTTCTCTCCAGTGCATCAGTGCTAACACTTGCACTGGAGTGGTAACACCAAGACACCTCTCAAAAAAGAAGTAGTAATAGCTGATGTCCGTGGACCATTGGCATTAGATGGTAACTGCAGCCCATTCTGGTTGAAAAAGCAGCTTCTCTAGGATGGTACATCCATATCCTGTCATAAGAGAGTGAAGGACATACCAGGAGGCAGGATGCTACATAAGGAGAACTGGAGGGGGCTATATAGGAGCAACAACCCAGCAGCAAAACCAGCATGTTTTCTATTACGCAAAGAGCTATAGGAGCCCTACAAAATTACCTCCAGCAGGCTACTCATGTACATGTCTCTGACTAAAATGTTAGAACGAGACTGAGGAAGGCGTGAAGTCAGTCTTTAGCAGGAGCTGTGCTTACAGCCCAGCATTGTGCAGCTGTGTAGGAATTCACCTGAGAACACCAGCGATGGCAGGTCAAACAATGGATCTCCAATTTCTTGATCTATCTGTGACAGGCGTGAAAGCTTCTGGATACTCTGGCATCTCCAGATGTTTTGTCACTCTCATTTGCACCAGAGCAGGTGAAATGCGATCATAGCGGTTTATGTGTGTCAGCTGGTCAAATTGACAGTTTACCTGATTATGTGTTATACTGTGATGAAGGTTCCTTTGTTTTATTGAGCAGCATATATACCTAAATGACCTTTTTTTCCTCTTTAAATTCAGAACAGAAAATAGACACTCTTTAAAGAGTTAACTATACATATCAATAAAGCTAAATAGACAAAAGCAGGTGGGTGATTGGGTGTATTGTTATGCTAATGGTTACAGTGCAGGTGACTCAAAAATGAAAGCAGTAAGAATTATTATGAGAAAAGACTTTTCTTTCACAAAGCATGTTTGTAAGTATCAGATTGTGTCTCTTTGCTTAAAGTATTGTAGTTGTCAAAACAGCCCTAAAGCAAACATTGTCATTAAGAAAAGGAAGAGGTTTTGTATAAAAGCCACATCATTGTGTTTCATATGCCTCTGTGGATCCAATTAAATTTGATTCTGTCAGCAAAAAGAGTCTCGGTGTATGTTGTGTCAAACAGAGTCATTGATGCAACTCTGACTGAAAGGTAAGTAATACACCTGTCTCGGTTTTGTGACATTTAAAAAGAAATACTTGGATTTAGCTGATATTTTGCAGTGACTTTCTGTAGAACTGCTCCTGTTCAATATCCAAGTTCCAACCTTAGTTTAAAAAAGCACACAATAAGCTACTGAAATGGTCTATGTGCACACATGCAGGAATAACACTCTCAGTTATTGCTAATTACATGTGACATAGCAGATTAGCGGCCTTATTGTTAACCATGTTTCCAATGGAGATTACTGCAATGTGAAATGGTTACTCATATATCTGTGTATTGTTGTGCAGAAGGTAATGAGTTGATGAATTATGTATTAGTTAGTCATACATGTCTGGGAATGTGTGCTCATGTGTGTAATTGATCTCGAAGTCTCTCTGAAAATATTGCCGTGCCTGTGTGTGCATTTACATATAAGAGAGAACATAAACCACCAAAGGCAGAACGCTGCATTCCAGCATCGAATATTGTAAGTGCAATTCTGATTATAGAAAAAAGGGATACAGGGGAAATTACAGGGTTGGACAGGCTCACAACAACCTAACATTTCATTTCCAGGAAAAAAATCTGGATTTTGTCCCACTTGGATTATCAGCTTCAGGAAGTGAGTGTGTGACTGAAGGTTTGTCCACAACTCTGGAGCAGAGTTTACCATGAATTATTTAATTGTGTACTGTTGGCAAGCAAACTGTACTACATCAAGTATAATAGGAAAATTTACCCTTTGGTTCATGTGCAAGCCATCTGACATTGGCTACTGACTTTCTTACCTCACTTAGTAGGAAAGGTATAATTACTGATTACAACATGTCCAATAAAAAACACAGTTTTTTCTTTTTGTTTAAAGCAGAAAATCTGGTGTGACGTCAACACCGTGAGAGACACAAGGATGCACTGAGACCCTGCCATTAGAGCTAGTTTACAAATCCAATTTCAATCCGTCTATTTAATTTAATTGTTTTTCTTGTGCAGTTTTACTTGAAAACTGAATGTCAGAATTTGTCCCAAGCCAGCTCATAGCCACTGAGAAAGAGGGGAGACAAGACAGACTGCGATGTCAAAAATAATAAACATGAGGTGTGAGGAGTCAGAGGAATCAGTCGTGGTATGCATGAATGGACAACTGACATATTAGTGCAGTGTGTCGGCAAAACAAGAAAAAAATCTAAAACCCAGTGGTTTCATTCCTTGGCATTTGCCCAGTGGGCCAAAACACTTGTGGGCTGATGGTCAATATGATTTTTTTTTCTTTGTTAATATAATTATACAGGCTACTGGGTGGCTTGAATGGCAGTTGCACACCAGCCCTACAAGCATTTCCAGCCCTTTTTCATAGCTGACACTGGATTGCCCAATCAACAGGTTAGTGTGGAAAAAGTGATCTATAAAGATGGACAAACAAGTGAAAAGTTGGAGCTGAAAAGCTAAAAGAGGAAAAGAAACTAGAAATAAGTGTAGAAAATGACCAACATATCAGCTGTCAGGGCTGCTGCTGCTGCTGCTGCATTCTCAACAGTAGCATCAGCAGCAACTAGTAAAAAGCCGTCACAGCTACTACCAGCCTTGGAACCTGATCAAACAAAATCTATAAGCAAAACACAGTTTTACTGTTATTTATGTGTTTGTTGGGGAATAACACAGTTATTTCCCTTTTTTTGCACATACTACTAGGCTGTACCTGTTGTGAGCCTTACACAGGTAAACCCCAGTCAGTTTAACCATCTTCTCCAACATACGACCTCAGAAAGAGAAAACCCTGCAAAGTATAAAGGAAGTGGAGGGAGCATAACACACTCAAATGAAGAGCTACTTAGAGCAGGGGTGTTCAAATCCAGGCCTCAAGGGCCGGTGTCCTGCAGGTTTTAGATATCACCCTGGGTCAACACACCTGAATCAAATGATTAGTTCATTACCAGGCCTCTGGAGACCTTCGAGACATGTTGAGGAGGTAATTTAGCCATTTAAATCAACTGTGCTTGATAAACAACACATCTGCAACCCGCAGGACACCGGCACTTGAGGCCTGGATTTGGCAAACAGTTTGTAGAATAGAATAGAATTAGTTTTATCTAAGCAGCACCGATTCACAACCCTCATCATCAGGGAGCTTTATAATCCAAGGTGAAGAATGTAGAGAATGTTCCCCAATGATCAGACAATTCCCTGAGAGCATGCACCTGGCAAAGGAAGGACAAAATTCCTTTTAACAGGAAGCAACACTCTGCAGAAGCAGGCTCAGAGAGAGGCACCCATCTGTCATGACTGGGTGGAGGTGAAGGGAAAAGATAAGAAAAACAG